ATACATACATACATACATACATACATACATACATACATACATACATACATACATGCATACATGCATGCATACATAATTACATATAAGCATACACATTTATTTACTGTTCGTGCTTCTTACGCCTGGTTGAGTTGAAACATGCTGCGGTTCATGCTGTCACACCTCGTGCCTTAGTGAGTCTGTTGGCCAGCAACCAAGTCAAGCCTCATCTCAGAGTTAGAATCAAACAAACCAACTGATTGGATCTGCTTGTTGGTGATGTGTCAGAAAGCCTGTCTGCTTGATGCGTACAGGGTGGATAGACAAAAACCAGTGGTCGCATATGGTTGATAGACTAGAGAATCTCTTCATCCATCTTCTCCACATCTCACAAACTGTGTGTTTGAATTTTTTATATAAAGCGTGCTTAAACCGCGCCGAATGGATTTGAAAGTCATCTCTTCTTACAGTGTAGACAATAAAGCCCAAAATAGCTACCTGTAGATATCTTCTTCTCATTGCGCTATTTTAAAAAGCATTTACTTCTTTCTATTTTATATTCTTTTTTGCTCTTTCTTTTTAGTCTAAAATAACAGCCGATGTGGTAGCTGTGTTGCTGCTTAATCGAAATGATACAGTTCTGACAAGAGACAGATCTCTCGGCTGAATCACTCATCATCATTCGTATTAATCACAAAATTCCCAGCAATATTAAGCTCAGCCACGATAAATGGCCTTATTCATCTGGCTTTCAGTCAGTTTCGTAAATGCCTAGAAGAAGACAACGGAGAAAATATAAAAACAATTGTGTACAACATTCAAAGGTACAAATGTACGGTTAAGTGATATCCCTAACATCAGAGGTCCGATTAGTCTCGAATTTTTCCACATACCAGTTGGTTTACTACCATCTAAAAATGAGAGAAAAGCTAACTTCGAAAGCAAAGGCGAAAAGCGTTTTCGCTCTTCTTTAGCGAAACCCAAACCAGATCATAGGGATCCAGAAATTGAAATTTTACCATTACTTTAATACAGGAAATTAAATGGCATCGTGAGTCTTACTCTGCTGAAGGTGGGAATAGTAGAATATCAGAGAGTCAGGCTGACTAAGTTTGTATTCAACAACTATGGATAGTCTCGAAAACCATGCACATCAAAAATACTTTATCCGTCTTATAGTGTCGTGGAGAAATTCTGCATAGACGATCCACATTGAGTGGGAGAATTGAGAAAACGTTTTGAAAACTGTTTTAAAATATCAAGTTGGAATTTTTCACACATTTAACAAATTTTTGTTTTTAAATAAGCAGCAAGCCAAAAACCTCGCAAGTAAAAGTTAACTTACTTATATCAGCCAATTGATCAAAAGAGCTCTTCGGCATCTCGGACCGGTTGTTAGGCAAATCAGCCCATGACTTGAGCTGATCGACGAAATCTGGTCGAAGTCTTGTCTGAGCTATGCTCATGTGTTCGCAGAGCAGGCGAACCGTTCTAGGCACCAAGCACGGCTCGCCGTTTGAGAAAGTGTACATCTGAAACATGGGTTCACTGGTCGACTTTTGAAGAGCAATTAAAAATTCGCTAAAAGGAATTAGCCTAAAATGGAATTAATGTTAAAATGAGAAGAACCTTCAGCATGATTAAAATATTACTTCATATGTTCATCCATGTTTTAACCAAAACAATTTTCAGTACTTCATCATCCAGCAAGACTGAAACTTTCATGATATTTTGGCTGTCGAAAATAGGCCCAATCTGAAGCCACGGGCTTTCTTAAAGCGCAAAGGTGTCCAGTTGACAGAGGAAAGAAGAGGGAAGACACGTCTGGCTCGTAGTCATATGCGAGAAAAATTGTTATATTTATACAGAAAATGAACACGACGGCACAGACGGCCTGTAATAGATCTGCTTCCTGGAGACGCCTTTTACATTTTGTTATTCTAAATGAAAGTTGTAACGAAAAATCTTTTGACGGTTCGCCGACCACTTTACCACTAACCTACTTTTGGCGAAATGAAGGCCATAGCCAAGCAAAGAAGGTAACTAAAACGTCGCCAAGCTACAAAACGTTGTGGCATATGCATTTTTGTATTCCAATTAAGTAAAGGTGGAGTACTCATTCTGTTTTTGAAGAAAGTTTGCGCATCAGAACCGATAAGACTAGATTGCCCCAGTAAACATTTTAGGCCTTCAGAAAAGTTACTCATACATGATGTGTGTAAAAAGTTACGACAAAATGACATCTAAAGTATATTTATTTGTTTATTTTATTTTTATTTTATTTGTTATTGTAACTAAGACTTGAAACCAATTCTGGACCTTCAAGAAAATTCTGATGTATCCTTCAGACCTAATGCCATAATTAGCCTTTTTTGAAAAAATACACCAACTCGTTAATTCATATCGTCCGCGCTCAAGAACAAGTGAACATCCCTTAATTGTGTTGGTAGCCCGCTTCTATAAGGTGATCTTATTCCTAGTACTTATGCAATTTATGTAGTAGCCTAATATATCATACGCTAGAAAAATTACTGTTTCAACGCTTAAATCTTACTTTGGTTAGCATGAATAATGTTTTTTCCTATTAAGGCAGATCTTTATTGCTCAGTTTTAGTGTTCATTCGGTTTATATGCGAGTCCCTTGCTCATGAATGCGATGCTTGGATTAATGAGATTATTACTTTATTTGTTTACCTGCTTCTGGAAATTCTAAACCAGAACTCGTAAAGCCTCTTTGTCAAATTCGCCCTCATACGATTGATATCCCGAGAAATTGTAATGCAAACATAGAGTGGTTGGTCTCTTTTGATTTGTGAGCATTGAGTTGACACTTTCTCTGTGAATGAAAGATCGAGAAATAAAGGCATTCAGAAAATAGGTGAATTATTAAAATGATCTGCGTTTTTATGCAGTTACTTGAGTATATTCGACCAAACTCAAGTCTAAGGTTGTTAGATTCACACCAAAAAATGAATGTGTCGAATTATCATCTTCTGAAGCCAAAGGGCCTGAAGATGTTAAGCAAAAATAGAGTAAATCTTTTCTCTCCTGAGGACGTAATTTTTTGCTTTTTCTTTCCTCTATCTTGCCTGCTTAACAGCTGATTGAAGAGGACATCTCTACGGTTAGGAATAACTTAGGCTGGCCGAGTGGATCCTGTTCAAGAGATACCCAAGAGCCGGCTGAACATTAGACCTCAAGATAAGGCTACATGTCCCAATTAATTGGCCGGTTGTGACTATTGTTTGCCAGGTTAATGGACAAGATATGACTAAAATGAGATCAATTTCTGCTGTTTTATTCTGTGAATGAGGTGGATCCTTCTTTATATTAAAACATGTTGCATACCCTGACAGGACTCTGATCTTTCACTGGAAAAACATGCGCCGAATTGAGGCGGCAACTGTTGGAATCGTACCAGACCCTCTTCATCCTCGCCATACTTTTCAAATCGATGATGTGCTCTAAAGGGCCCATCTTGCTCATCCCCTTCAGAGGTCGTCATGCACTCAGACGCCAAGGACGCCGACTCTGGTCGCCAGGCAACGCAGTGTATTTGCAGTTTCAGTAGTTCACCCAAAATCGAGCTGTTGCCCTGAAAGGTTCCGTAAACGTTTGGCCAAGAGTGAGCCGTGTAGGACCGTGGAAGAGACGAAACTTCGAGTGAATTGTTGTGTCGTCTGAACGAACTAGATTAAGGAAAATGACATCGAAAAACGTTAATTCGTTGAGTAACGTAGAGACCAATTATGAATTAACTTCTCCAGGTGAACGTAGAGCATTGATCCAATACAGATTTCGAAGAATAATCCTACATTTGCTGCATCGGTATACAAGTTCTGTTTCTATTACAAATACAGAGCCAAGTTAAATATTGAAACTCTTGTTGAATATAAAATAATTATGGAGTAAATAACATCACAGGAGGAGAACATGATATTGACTATTTATTCGCGACGCAGGCAGCCATAGTGATCATGAATGCTGAAGAGAAACTGGGGTTATATGATCTCTCCCCATCAGTTTCACTAAAGACCAATTTATTGAATTCTTCCTCTCAAATCTTCCTTTAAAACGAAAATCTCCATTAAGACAGTACTATATTTGGAAACATGTAATTAAGTAGCTAAGCGGATTTTACCAGCGAAAATAAATATACAAAATAAAATATAAACTTTTCATTCGGTCTTTGATAGAGGTGTAAGTTTGGCTGCCGGGTTTCTTTTTAGGCCAAACCCGAAATAGGTAGTCGAAAATATTTTATAAATTAAAAAAAAAATTTATATTGACCTTAAATAAATACAAATTTTTAACAGGTTTTATTGGCTAATTAAAGTCACAAATAAGTGGCTTGACTGTTGTCGAAGATCTCATACACTATCTCAGGCAGATCAGCGACATACAATAGGTCCAAATTGAATTTCCTCATGCTGGTACCAGAGTCACTTATCTTATTTTAGCCTACTTAGACAACTTGTCCAAGTCTACTAAAGTTGGCTTTCCCTAATTCTTATAAAACGAAAGCAAAATACGAAAGCGAGAGATTTAAGTGTCCATATTCAATATGAGTTTGATACGGGTCCAGCAGTAATTCTTGAATAGGAAACCCAACAATCTTTTATCGCTTAGGTTTGGTTAAGGACTCGGAAGAAGTTTTTCCCGAAAAAGTGTACTTTTATCCAA